TATAAGAAAGTAAACGTAAATAATGGTGATTCACATAAAAGAGAAGTTATGAAAATGCATTAGATTTGTCACTTTTATTAAAATGATGAAAAACAATATAAAATTTAAGTACATAAAAAAGATCCATAATATCAAGAAGTCCTAAAATGATAATCAGTTCCAATCAGCCTCCTCAAAATCATGCCCTTGAAAGATTAGGCAATGGGTTTCCACTAACATTAGGTGCCGTGTTTCTACTAGTGTCGAAGCTTATCAACTCTTTTTTAATTAGACTTTGCACCCTATGTTTCAAAATGATATAATTTTTGATAGAATGACCAACAGTCTCATAATGATAGTCATAGTGAGTAGTGAAATCATACCATTTGAGATAGAGAGGTTCAAATTGTTTTACAAAAATAGAAACAATCAAGTAATTTTTGTAAAGTTTTTGGTATAGTTCTAAATAGCTCACGGGAATAGGATCAAATGTAGACGTTTTCTAGTTTCGTGATTTTTGAACACCACTTATTGGGGTAGTTGGACGAACAGAGAGCCTAGTTGTGGATGGATAAGAAGGTTGTATAGCAAAAATATGATTTACAATGGGATGATATGTAGGATAGATCGACTAAGGGTAGTTTTTGAATTGCTAATTGTCAAAACTCACAGCTTGAGTCTCACTTTTTTTTGGGGCATCTTTTTAGCAGTAGAGGATTCTTTATCTTTTAGTTTATTATTTTTTATTGCATTCTCAATAATCTCTCTTGAAATCATCATATCAGTAAAATTTTTAATCATATTTTCTATTATCTTCTCATAGTATGACGACTTTAGAGTGTTTACAAACAACACTATTATTTTTTTTATTAGTGGTGGTTGTACTTAAGTGATGACATCCCTCCACCTATGGACATACTCTTTGAAATACTTAGATGATTTCTTCTCTATACCTTGTAATGATAGATGATTAGAGGTCATATCTATGATGTGGCGATATTGGTTGATAAAGGATCAAGTCAAATCCTTGCATAATTTTATGCAAGTTTTATCTAACTGAACATATCACTTTACAACAGATTTAGTTAAGCTATCTTGGAATACATACATGAGTAGTTTTTCATTACTACCATGTGCTACCATCTTACAATAATATATTATGACATTGTAATGGGACACTTAGTACTATCATACTTTTCAAAATTTGACACTTTAAATTTTAGAGGAATCACAACATATGGGACCAAATAAAAGTTAGCAGCATCTATGGACCATAAAAAGCTATTCCTTCTACAGCCCATAATTTTTCTTTAATCATGTTCATTATTTGATCAGTTTTGAAGTCTTTTGAGGGTACTACCATTTGCAATTTCACTTTTTTTTGTCTTATCCAGCTTGGGGATTTGAATGGACTTAACTACCTTTTTGGTGAAGATAGAATTAGTATAACTTTGAACATTTTTTTGATTATAATTTAGGAACATGATCTGTTGTGGCTAAAAATTTGGAGTGGTCCGGGTCTAATGCAAATAAAAACCTAAAAGATATAGCGATTTGGTATCTTCATGTGAGGTATCTTTTTCTATTATTTTCCTTTTATTTATATTTTCTAGAGCTTCAAGGATCTTGCTGAATTTCCCATCAATTACCTTCCACCTTTCAAAATAGTTTGCATTATCCTACTTCATTTTTTTGGCTTTAGCTCATGTGTTATCGAATATGTAGCTATTCTTGTATCTTGATTTTTCATAATGTGCAAATTTAAAATGATGTTTATGGAACCCTCAAATTATACATGAAGATGAATGCAAAAATAAAATACATGAATGCAATAAGGATAATTTACCACATAACAATTATTATCAAAGAAAATTTTTATTGAATTGAAAGTCACTTTTAACCAAATCCAACATTATATTCATGAAAAGTCTAGAATTATTAAGAAAAGAAACCCATAACTCATCGATACTGGCTTTGCACTTCATTAAGGAAATCTATCAATTTTTGATCATATGCTTCCACTGGTGGCACCCTTGCCTTCCATTTTTCAATCTTTTCTACCATGTCTTTGGCTTTGTAAACAGCCATAATGATTCAGTCAAGCAATGACTTCAATTGGTTATGTTTATTCACACATGCTTCTTTCATTTGCTCACATTCTTCAGTCACAGCTCTCATTTGTGCTCTGATTCCCACCACTACTTCATTTAGCATCTGAATGTGCCTTTATGCTTCAAAAAGCATTGCATTCCTTCTTACAGTTTTACTTGCAATTGTCTATTTTTTTACAAAAGTTGGGCCAATTCTTAATTAATGGATGATTATATTGTATTAAGGTCAATGTACAAACGCTTCCATCTATCATTTTCTTGTTCTAGTGTTTGGACCTCCCTTTTTAGCCTTTTGTTTGTAGGCTTCAACTTTTCAAACTCCCTTTTTAAGCTAGTAGAGGACTTTGCTAGGCTTTTCATAGATGTAATTGAGATTTTTCTTGTTAAAAATTATTTTGTGACAGATATTTCTTATGATAAATCTAATGTGAATGCATGATAAAGAAAAAAGGGTTAGTAGACATAAAAAATAATACATAAATACAAAGACCAACATATAGAACTAAAGTATACAAAAAAGACAATATATAAATATCCAATCATGCCTTCTAACACAAAAAAATGCATGGTTCTACCTATGGTGGGCTCTTAAAGTTAACTATATATGGTTTGGATTACTTCTAAAAGGTTTTCAAATTATTCCTTACATCATTGTTTATCACAGACTAGTAAAGCATTTTGATCCTTACCCATCATAAACTACAAAAAAAATGGTTCAATTTGAGTGGAAGTGTTTCATTGGCTAATGCAGAGACATGAAATCTTATGAGGGCATAGGTAATTCACTTCCTCCCAAAGGTAGAGCTCGGGTGGAGAGCTTATTTTATGCATATGCAAATGAATGGTAGATATATATTAATGAATAACTAAACAGAATATAAGCAATTAAAAGAAAAAAAATAGGAAAGAAAGAAAAAAAATCTTCAATTTATTAAGCAAGGCTTGGATAATAAGAAGTCATTTACTAACTTGACTTTCGACATCTCCGGTAGAGTTATCAAACTATCATAACGTATAAATTTGTGGATCTACCGCTAGACATGCATTAAAAGAGTCACCACTAATCTTTTTTATTTATGTGTGATTAGTCCCCTAATATAATTTATCATATTTAAAGAGGAGTCCTAAGATTAACTTATGTATCTTTAAATAGTAGATTTTGATCTACGAAACTAAATTTTTGGTTCGAGAGTATGATTGCATGCGAGGAAGGTTATAGCACCTCTACAACACCCATATAAAGGATAGTACCAATTTGACTTCAAATTATTCAAGCCTTAAATATGTTTGTAATTTACCTAAATATTTATATTAAAAATTAATCTTAAAATTACCCCAATAATTTGGTAACAATTTAAAATAATTCTCTCACATCAAGAGTATTCATGGAGACTAGTGTTCTATTATGAAGATGCTTTGTCATCGAATTTATTACTGTATTTTATTCAAAAAAATTATTAAAGTCCTCTAATAATTTGATAGGATTTACTTTGAGATAGATTGCTTAATAATTTGGTGAGATTTTATTTGAAAGATATTTATAAAATTTTATTTTTTTAAGAAAATTCATTAAGTCTCCCAATAATTTGGTAAAACTTAATTTAAGAAGCAAATCTTCCAATAGTTTGAAGAATAAAAATTATTTTTTTATTTTTTTTGAAAACTGATTTATGAAAATTTTTAGTAGTTTGGTGGATTCCATAAAATTTAAATCCATAAAAATTCTCCAATAGTTTGGCAAGATTTATAAATTTATTTAAAAAGATTTATTTATTATTATTTTTACTTTTTTATTTTGTTTTCCAAAAATAAAAATGAATTTTCACAAAATATTTAATAAATAATAAGTTACTTAATAAAAATAAGTAAATAAAAATTAGTAAAATAAAAAAAACTGAAAATAAAACAAAAAACTAAAATTATAAAATAAATCAAAAATAAAATAAAAAATTAAAATTAAAATAGAAAAAAAAACTAAGATCGGGTTAGGTCAGCATGTAGGTTGGCACGTGGGTCAACGAGTCTACACACGGGTCTGAGGCTTTCAAAACGACATCGTTTTGGCACCCTATATAAGCCAAGTTTTGCATTTTTGCTTCAAAAGCCTTTTGCCTTCTTTCTCTAGCCTAGATTTTCTCTAACCTCTTTTTAAAAGAACCAAAGAACACCGTCAAAAACTGGGAAAATTTCATCAATTTCTGAAAAGTTGCTGGAATCCCATAAAAAAGAATTCAAATCTCACTGAAAAGTTCAACCAAAAAATTCAAAATTCATCCCAAAAATCTAGATTTTTTAAAAAAATCTCAGATTTTCTCAAATTTTTCCAGATCATTTTAAAAAATTCCAGAACTTCAATCCAAATTTCAGAAACCTAAATACAAACCCATAATTCTAAAAAAATCTTAAAATCAAAATCCAAGAAACCATATTGCCTAGAACCCTTTTCCAGAGTTGTAGCAACCAAAATTTTCACCAATTCCTCATCATTCCCAAATCAACCTTGTATTGTTCAATTATCTTGTATCCAATTTATAGGCATCCTTAACAAAGATTTTAGGAATCAAACAAAATCAATTCGAGTTTAAATCCTAAGATTGGATTCTACTCGAGCATTATTTTAGGCCAAATTGAATCCAAAAATCCTCTGATTATGAATTAAAACCATTGACCATGTAAGGTTGAATTCCATTGATTTGGCTGATTATAGACTCCAATTTCCTCATTCAAAAGCAAATCGAGAAGAAAAGAAAAAAATAATAAAAATAAAAAAATAATAATATAATAACATACAAACTATAATATAATAATATAATATGATATAATCATAATATAATATAATATAATATAATACTAGTAACAATGATAGTAAATAATAATAATATTAATAAAATCAATTTATTTGACCCCAGACACAGATGGGTGTTTACAATTGTCCAAAATCGACCTTCCCTTGCAATGTCAGCCTTCGACGAACCAAGCTGCCAATCTGTTACTTCAATTAAATTGTCCTATACCAGGGACATGGGTAATAAATTTGGTGATCTGATACTCAGACCACTTGATAGGATGTATGGTGTTAGGGGCATTTGATGGTCAAAATGATATAGTGATCTTTTCTCTTTTCAAAGCCTTCACCAAACAATAAGAGATATCTTTGTCATTTGTGCCGACCTGACATAACATGGTCAGTGCCACCTCAGCTCGGGCTTATCCTAATTATCCTCTTATGGTCACCTTCAACTTACCTATAATTACGAAGACTCAAGCACCAAGAAGCCAAGTTGATCCCATTCACTTCTCTCTCTCATTCCTATTTTTTTGTCGACTTGATCCTTATTGACTTGCGCATTGGAGTACAAATGCAGGGAACACCTCTTGTTTTTGCCTTTAATTATCCTTTTCTTCTACATTCATAGGGACACCTTCAGGTCGGAGCTCGGCACCAGCATTTGGCGCATCAAAGCTTATCTTTGAGCTCTTCCCCCCCCAGTCCGAACTTAGTACAAACAATAACAATAGAATACCATATCAAGTTGAGCATCATGGCTTATTTGTCTTCACTTCCATGTTGCTTCGGCGTAGTGAAGATGTTAGAATAGTTAAGCTAGTTATTGTATAGATACTAAGAAGATAAAACTTGGATAGTTTTCGGCTTTGCAGGCACACTATGCAATTGCTCTAAGCAGTTCCCGGAATCTTATACAAACTTTAATCGAGCAAATCATATTATGAGCAGTCGTTTTAGCTGTTATCAGTTGTGTTGATAGCATGCCAAGCGACCTTGAGTGGAATATTCTTCGAGCTTTCTCTTCCTATCACCATGTTTTCTCATTAGCAGACTCCACTAACAACTATTTATTTGAAAGAAAAGACAAATCTTATCAATTGAATAAGTGAATAAGTTCCACAGAAAAAATTGTGTTGAAAACGTATGTTAAAGAACTTAAGACCGGAAAGTCTCTATACTTCTTCAGTATTTAACATTCACATAATGTTGTAACCACATTTGTCAACTTCTCTAATACTACTTCTGGAAGTTGATTATGACTCATTTCAAAATAAGGCACTAGTTTCCTTTAGGCTTTGAGTCTAGTCTAGGTATGTGTGTATATATATATATATATATATATGTATATAGTGATGGCTTCATCAATTAACCGATTATTCAGAAAGATACAATTAATAATGATAACATGGAGGGCATAAAAAAAAAGTTTCAGGAGCTAAGTACAAGCATTAGAATCTAACATGGATGATTCAAAAGCATCATCGTAATTCCTAGAAACAAAAGATTGCAAGAAAACTCATAAGTTGAACAGTCATTTAAAAAGGCAGTACAGATTATCACAAAACAAAAGTTCAGATTCAATAAGGAGAAACCCACAGAAAACAACGGTTTCTTTGTTATTTTAGTACTTAGATACCGACCAGGCTGCCAACATGAACAACCATTTTAAACCAATTTGGTGCTCCTTCAAACGTGAGATCCTCAAATGTTTCATGTACTGGATCATAGAGAACAAGTGCTTTGCTTCTATGCTCCAGTAAGATCTTACCACTTTTGAAACCACATATAGCTCGGAAAAATGATCTAGGGAAACGGGTACTTGCATTGATATGTTGCAATTCTTTTGGCAGGAAACTAGCAATGTTAAATTCTTTGATCCAAGAATCTTTCATATTATATTCCTTCATAACCCAAATCTCTAATCCCCCAATAGCTTTGGAGGCCGCTGCAGAGAGATGACCTTGAAGAACCATCAGTTCATAAAAACACCTGTCTAAGCTCCCACAATCAGGTTTAGGGACCTCCTGGAATTGTTCAGCTGTTAGCTCAAATGATATGATCTGGTTTTCCATTTTGTATTTGGCAGGTTGAAAGATCCAATGAAGTCTCCCACAGACCATAACCTGTGATGGTTGCCGGATAAATCGGTAAGGTACCATCCCTAAACTTCTCCATCTGGAGCCACCAAGAGTTAAAATTCGAACCTCAGATTGAAATGAGTTAGATGCAGCAAGATGAGTGCTGAATATAGGCCTTCTTCTTTGGTAAACTGGCCTTCTTCTTTGATAAACTATCTCAACCAGTTTATATTCCTTTGTGGTTGGACTGAAACCAAATCCTAAAATTCCCACTTCTCCTGGATCCCTTAATAATTTTGGCAGCTCTATGGCATCTTTGGTTAAAGGATTGCAAATGTGGATTTGCGAAGAATTGCAAAAGCATAGCAGGCCATTGCATGAACCTACCAAATTAGCATGCTCTGTTGAAACAGAAATTTTCTTCAAGATCTTGTTTCCTTCAGTGTAAGCAGCAAAATCTACAAAGTAGTATTGATTTTGAATAGGCCAATGACTTTGAAAGATGATGCCTGGATCATTCTCAGTCATATGTGATAAATGCTTATTAGCAAGTAGTGAGCTTTGTATTATGCTTCGCCAGGCTCGGCATACACACTTTGATTGCATCAAAGTTGTTATAGGAAGCCTAGATAGTATGTCAAGGACAACATCATGAGGAAGATGCTCCATCCTTCTAGTTGGTCTGCATCACAAATTTGTTCCTTCTCTTAAACTGTTTCTAAGAAAGTACATTAATAGAGAGATTTAGAAGGCACAATATCTCTAAATGGCTTTTTGATCAAAAGAAGGCTGCAGTTAAACATAACGCACTTGATACTATCAACCTATTGATTAAAATGAAAAATGTAATGACATAATAGTATTTTATGGAAGTACAGGATCCACCAAAGAAAATTCTCATAATAAAATGTTTGCCGTCTCAATTTAATGAATCAAGCAGATTGATCAATCAGTCATTACAGCTATCCCCGGTATTAAAAAAATGGAAATAAAGAAATGACATCACTTACAATCTATTCCTACTTTTAAACTAAAAAAAATGTCATTTGCCTGATTTACTTTATAGCATGGCCATGATCAGCTGCTAATCATATGAATTCCTTTCTAAGTATTCTAGCTCCTTAACTGCCACTCATTTATCATTCTGACATCCAGCAATGCTTATTTCCAAATCAAGCATGTTTAAAACTCCAATTTCAGGTCATATCAACAAAACAAAAAGAACCCCCTCCCTCTCTTCCTTATAAATAAATAAACACAACAAACATACCCTAACTTGTTCACCCTCCATTAATGAGAAACACATGATTTAACCTCAGAGATTTGTCTCCAGGAGTATATAAACGAACAACAAGATATGGAATAAAAATTGTTAAGCATTTAATATCTAGAAAATTGACATGACAAGGTTTTTTCATTCATGCAGTTTTTGGTTTCACCTATTACAAACATAACAGATTGTTCCAGACCATAGGAAATACATACTTTTCAGCATCTGATAAAAAGGCGTTTTGACTGGCTCTAAATTCGAAAACTCTGTCAAGTAGTTTTATCAACATGTTGAGTGGCTTAAACCCCTTTACTAGCTTGATCATCCATTTAAAAAAAAAAATTCAGTTGAGCGTAACCCGGTTTAATACAGGAAAAAAAATTACCTATTTGGAGAAAAAAACCCAGGATCGGAATAAGGCAGTGAATTCCGACATGAATCAAGGTTTCTTTGGCTAAGTTGAAATTTGTTGCCAGACCTGATTAGCGTTTTCTCTACTGTTCTGCTCTAAAACTTTGGCATACAGAGAGAGAAAATTGCATTTCGGTATTTCTGAGGTTAGCTAGAGCCACGTCAGATATTCAACTTGTCTTCATCCCTTCTTTTCATTTCCAAAGAAATGGCTGTGAAAGAAGATGGGCCTATGGGCCAATTAAATTTGTTCCAACAAAAATAGGAAACCAAACATCGAAAGCTAATATGTCTTTTTGGGCCTAGCGAACTCATTCAAAGGCCAGTAAAACTTATTTCCTTTTAAATGAAAAAAAAAATGCATTTTAAGTAAACATAATAAATTTTTTTTAATAATTAATGTGAGATTCGCGGCATCTAATTTCTTTTTGTTCTCATCTTACAATCTTCTTATACTAAAAAAAAATTATCATTTTATTTGAAGTGATAGATGAAATTTATCACTTATTTTTAAACAAGTAAAATTTTAGTTTTGAATTTGATTAAAAATAATTAAAAGTTAAAATATTTTGTAAGATATTCCTTTATTTCCACAAGAAAATATTTTTTACATTAAATTTGGACCATATTTGACCTAAATTAAAATTAACAATGGACAATTGTACCATTCAAAGACTAGAAAATTTGATACATCATTTTTAATTAGAATGATGAATTTGGATCTTATCTTAAATTTATCAACCAAAATTATTGGAGCAAAAAATAAAAGACAAAACTATAATTAAAAATTGAAAAGTGATACATTGCACTTTAACTTGTTATCTTTTAAAAAAATTGTAATAGTAAGTTTTAGCATTATTATGTTTAAATATTTATTGGACCTAGTTATTATGAAAGGAATATTTTTCATTGCTAGTCATAAAACAATTTAATTTATATGTAGATTTAAAAAGTCAATTTTTCATACACCTCGATCAGCTGAATTGAATATGCTATTTGTCTTTAAATAAACAAAAGAAAAAAAAAAAAATATATATATATATATATATCAATGCTTATATCAATGCATAGGTATGATTTTCATTTTTTTTACATTATTTCTATGAAAAATATTACATTTTCACAAAAAAAAAAAATTTCTTTAAGCTTTCCCAACTAAATAATCCTACAATTTTGTTAGTAAAGAAATATCCGAAGTAATTAAATTCATTTTGAAGGAAGATGGTATATTTTAGTAATGAGTTTACGTCTCTTACTTTTTTAAGATATTGATTTCACAGAATTTTTATTATAATTATATAATTGTAAATTTTATTAAAAATAATTTTGAAAGTAAAATGTTCTCATTTCAATAATTTTTTTAATATTTAAAGTTATTAAGATTAAATTTTAATTATTAAAATTAAAATTTTAATATTTTATTAATAAATCACACGATTATTTATTCATTTTAATAATTTGACATTGTTGTGAAACAATCAATGCAAGGCCGGCTGAATAATTAAAATAATGAGGCTTATAAGATAAATATGAAGTCAAAGGAACATAAAGCCAAAGATCAACTCATCAAGATTCAAGAAGAAAGGATACGGCTTTTTTCTTTGTTATATCAGCCTTTAGGTATGCCGAAGAAGGTATCGATCCAATTGAGGGTTGCAACATGGACGACTATTTTGAAATACTTGGGAATTCCTTCAAATGTAAATTGAAGATCCTTGAATGTCCTGTGCTGCGGATCATAGAGAACCAGTGCCTTATTTCTGTACTCCAATAAGATCTCTCCACTTCTCAACAGGGATAGGACTCGCATGCTTTCTTTGGGCGAATAAAGCCTTGCATTATTGAAGGATTCACACTCATTTTGCTGCAATATTTTTGGTACGTAAGTTCCGATGCTAAATTCTTTGACCCAAGACTCTTCACTTCATATTGCTTCATAACCCAAACCTCGAATTGTTCATTATCTTCATGATAAGAAGCTGCCGAGAGATAACCTCGTAGAACCACTAGTTGATCAAATAGCCTGTCCAACCTGATGCAATCAGGCCTAGGGACCGCCTGGAATTGTTCAGTGGCCAGGTCAAAGGATATAATAAGGTTTGTTGGTTTATATCTGTTAGGATAGGAAACCCAATGAATTTTCCGATTGACCAGAACCTGATAAGAGTGTTGCCACATAAAATGGAACGGTAGAGTCCCTAAATTTCTCCATGTGGGGTCACCAGGAGTCAAAATATGAACAGCAGCTTCAAAACGAAGTAGATTCAACAAGGTGACCGGTAGAGGCACTACAAGTTCTTCTTTCATATGATATGTCAACAACCTTATATTTCTTTGAGGTAGGATCGAAACCAAATCCTAACACTCCAATATGACCAGGGTACTTTGTCAGTTTTGGCAACTTTGTATAATCCCTGGTAAAAGGATTATAAATGCAGAGTCCAAAGCTTCGGTGAGAGGCAAGCAAGCATAGCAATCCATTACATGAACTTACCAAATGGAAGTTGAGAAGGGGTGGCATGGAAAGTTTCTTTGTGACCACTTCACCGTTTTGAGTAGAGAAATCTCCAAAGTAAAGCTGGTTTTGGTTGGGGTGATCGCTCTGTAAAATGAAGCTGGGATCATTCTCAACCATGCGCCAGAAATGCTTCTTGACAAGCACTTGATCTCGTATTAGGCCACGCCAGGCTCGACACACGGACGTGGATTGCGCTAAACTTGGAATGGGAAGCCTTGATAGTATGTCAAGGGCTATCTCCTCAGGAAGATGCTCCATTTTGCTAGGTATTTAGTTTTGCTGACAAATTATTTTGTTCTTCAAACTGTTTTTCTTAGAGAGTTTGATGAAGTGTTAAGAGAATTAATAGATGATTAAATTGTATCTCCAAAGATTGATTGGCGATCAAAACAAAGTTGAACCAGATTTACAATATTAAACATGAACAAAGATGAATTAATAATAACAAATAAATAGAAAAGCAAAACAAAAAAGTGCATATGGACATGGTGCTATATGGAAGCTACTAAAGCATATTATTGGCAATTGTTGGTATGTAATGAACAAATTCGGAGCCTTGTGGTTTGGCCGGCCTGAGTAGGACCACAAGCATAATATCATGATCCAAGGAAACATAAATTTCAAATCGGCTGTGTATTAAAATTTAATTTAAAATACAAATGTTTACATCACTTTTAATTTGTGATACATTTTATAAAACAACTTTGAGATTTAATGAATTGAAATGATTAATATCTTATAAATTGGCATGAATTTCTATACATAATTGGATTTGATTTTTTATCCGATTTTCCATTAAAGGCCTAGGCTTGAATAAGGCTTACTCCAAGCCCCTCCCAGGTAGGGCCTGGATGTGTGCAGAAAATACGGGTTGGCGGCTTACATACGTACAACGTAGTTTGGGTTGCTTATCCAACAAAAGAAAGGTGATTTGGGCTATGTTCAATCATTTTGTTGTCCATCTCTTGTTAGGGTCCTATTTTTTTCTTTAATTTTCGGCTTTGATTTTTCGTTTTCCTCGGCAACTAGGGAATTGACTCGATCCTAACTTAATTAGGTTAATTTTGACCAGCTTTTGGACAACACAGGCTAATCCAATTACCTAATTAAAGACTTATATATCTCTCTTTTAGAACAAACTAGATTTTAGGTATAATAAGGTATGGGTCGTCTGACTCGATTTTGGATATTTGGACTGTCAAACTCATGTTATGGCATGACTTTTTAGCTTGACGATTGATTAGTTTATCTTGTTCATTTAGTACTCTTTGACAAACGAAAGGTAATAGACACTACATATATATAAGTGCTTTAATAACGATTTCTTGTTTTTTTTTTTTTTTGTTTTTTTGATTTTTTTTGGCTTCGGCTGTGATATGATTGTGTAACCCCTATAACTTTTTTTATTTTTATTTGTATTTTTCACTTTATCATTGACCATCTTCTCTTCAGCATATATCAATTGCATTTTCACTTAAATATTACAACTTGCAACTCTACATTTTTTTTCGAATGATTCTACTTTTTTTATTTTTTTTCTTTTCTTCTTTTTATTTTCTTCTTATCAAATAAAAGAAAAAACGAAAATATTTTTCTTTAACCTTATTTTCTTTCTATTTCCTTCCTATCAAACACAGTATTAATAAGTTAAAAAATTACTAAATACACAGGCAATAAAATTTTAAACTTCACAAATAAAATTAAAAAGATGAAACATACTTCTTAAAATATATTAAAATTAATTAAAAATATGTTATATGTGAATCTTTTAATCCACTTATAAAATTAAAAAAATGTCACTTAGAGTCTCTAATTCACACTCTTAAATTGATACCTAGACATCTAAGTAAAAACTCTTTCTAGTTTCTTCCAAGGATAATTTTTTCGAAGAGCCTATATATGTTGATAAAATTTAAAATTAGTTCAAGTTTTCATGGTTCCTGGCCAATGACGGTAGTGTCAAAGAATTTTCATACACATTAATTCTGACCAAGTCAAGTACCGATATGTTTAGGTATATTATCACTTAATATATGATGACCACAATTAAAATTTTGGTTTAGGTCCAAGTGTCAGATCATCCAAATTAACAAATTCAAAGCTTTTTTCTCATCACTTAAAACCCACTTAAACGCGTCTCATCCAATAACGAAGCTGGAGAAAGATATTGTCATCCATTTTCAAGTAATCAGAACTAGTGGGACTTAGCTACCATTCAGCAATAGCCTCAAATATTTTTAACAAAACTTTTATTAAACTAATTTGTAGAATAATGTGGCCAAATTGTCATAACGTTTAGATCCGGGGATTTATCGTTAGACATTGACTTTTAAAGAGTCGTCACCAATCTTTTTTATCTAGGTGCGATTTACCACCTAAAGAATCTGTCATTTCAGGAAACACCTAAGCTTAAGGTCCCTAAAAGAATAGGTTCAGGTCTGTTAACCAGAATAGGGTTTGGGAGTTTGATTACGTGTGAGGAAGGTTATAGCACCCTTACAACGCCCATTAAAAGATGGTACTAGTTTAAATTTGTGTTATCCAATAAGCCTTAAAATTTTACCAAGTAATTACTTGTTAAAAATTATTCTCAATTGACTCTAATACTTTTAGCAGAAAATTAAGAAAATTCTCTTACCTCAGGAGTATACAAGAAAAATTACTGTTTTACTTGCAGAGGCTCCGTCATCGGATTAATTAAAGAAAAATCAAAATTAAAATCAAAATAGAAAGGAAGGAAAGAATGATTGTTCTCGTGTAGAAAAAATTGATACTTTCAACTTTTCTCAAAAAATATTCTTTTAGAAATTTTGATTTTCAAGGAAAATTGATACTTTCAACATTTCCTCAAAAATCTTTTTTTTTGAAATTTTATTTTTAAGAAAAATTGATACTTTCAACTTTTCCCTAAAAATATTTTTTTGGAAATTTATTTCTAAGGAAAATTGATACTTTCAACTTTTCCCCAAAAATATTTTTTTTTGGAAACTTTGATTTTCAAGGAAAATTGATACTTTCAACTTTTCCTCAAAAACCTTTTTTTTGAAAATTTATTTTTAAGGAAAATTGATACTTTCAACTTTTTCCTAAAAATATTTTTTTGGAAATTTATTTCTAAGGAAAATTGATACTTTCAACTTTTCCCCAAAAATAATTTTTTTTTGGAAACTTTGATTTTCAAGGAAAATTGATACTTTCAACTTTTCCTCAAAAACCCTTTTTTTGGAAACTTTGATTTTCAAGAAAAATTGATACTTTCAACTTTTCCCTAAAAATATTTTTTTGAAAATTTATTTCTAAGGAAAATTGATACTTTCAACTTTTCCTCAAAAATGTTTTTTTTTTGAAAATTTTGATTTTCAAGGAAAATTGATACTTTCAACTTTTCTCCAAAAATATTTTTTTGAAAATTTATTTTTAAGGAAAATTGATACTTTCAACTTTTCCTCAAAAATATTTTTTTTGAAATCTTGATTTTCAAGGAAAATTGATACTTTTAACTTTTCCTCAAAAACCCTTTTTTTGAAATTTATTTTTGAGGAAAATTGATACTTTCAACTTTTTCCTAAAAATATTTTTTTTTTGAAAATTTTGATTTTCATTTAAAGAAAATAGAATAATAAAAAAAATAAAATAAAAATAAAGAAAAGTAAAACAAAAATAAAAATAAAATAAAGATAAAAAGAATATTAAATAAACCTAATCTAATAAATAAAAAAATAAACAAAGAAATGAAAAGAAAAAAAAATTCAAAAAAAAAAAAACCTGGAGCGGCTCGGATCGCGGCTCGGCTCGGCTCAAGGAAGAAAAAATGGCTCGGAGAAGCGGCTTTGGAGCTCGGCTCGGCTTGGAAGGGGCAGACACGCGTAGGTCAGGAAGCGGGTCGACGCTTGGGTCGGGTCGGATCTCGACAAAATGCGCGGATCCTCTGGGTTACTTAAGGCCAAAACGACGTCGTTTTGAGAGGGTATAAAAGGCACTTCCCTTTGTTTTTCGATAGAACGCTCCTTCCATCTCTCTCTCTTCTTTTTTTTTTCTCTCCCTTCTCTCTAAAAGGTCAAAGAACTTCGGTTGAAGATTCACCAGATTCTGGGTTTTGTTGTCGGAATCTGGGTTTTTTCGTCGAAAGTTTACCGGAAGTTCGTCGGAAGGTTACCGATTTCTGGAAATCTTCACCGAAAACTAGGCAGGTCGAAATTTTCGTCAAAAAATTCAAACTTCGCCGGAAAATTCACCGGAATCTAGAATTTTTCAAAAATTCTCAAAAAAAAAAATTGCCAAAAATTCTCAAAATTTTTTTTCTCACTCCCAGAACACTCCTAAACCTTTTCTTAGCTCTCTATAAATCCCTATTCTCTCAATCAGTAGCTTTTGCTTACTGTTTTCTATGTGTTTAGCATCTGTTCCAGGAGGTCCCTTTTATAGGGATTGATCAAGAGTTCCTGATCAATCCCAATTCCTCCTTGAACAGGGATTCAATTTTTGAATCTAATCTGGACTCTCTTGATTGAATTTTCCTTCACAGTGGGATTCTTCAACTTTCGATTCCAGCCCTCCAAAATCAAATAAAAAAAATAGATAATTAGAAAAGATAGGATAAATAAAAAAAATAATAATAATATCAGATATGCAAAAAATCAGATAAACGGAACAAGAGAGAAAAAAAATTATTAACAGATAATACAATAAGATAAATAAAAAAAATATTACAAGAAAAAAAAATAATAAATAAATTATAATATATAATAAATATAGAACTATATAAATAAAATACATATAAATATTAACAAAAAAAAATAAAAATAAATAAATAAATAAGTAAAAATATACATATAATAATAATAAATAATAAAATACATAAAATACAAAAGAAAAGAAAAGAAAAGAGAAAATAATAATACAAAGTAAAAATTACATTGAACTTACCCATTTGGGTCAGACTCAATTGATCTGGACTAAGACCCAATTAAATGTCTACACAAATTAAAAAAACAAAAAACCTTTGTAGAATAATATTTTTCATTTGTTTAATAATGAGCTGATTCAAATTGGGCTTGACTTAAACTTATGGAACAGTGAAATTTTGACTTAGTTTAATTTAATTTTATTTTAATTATGCAGATAACACCACAATCATTGTAAGTTGGAACTCTAATAATTAATGTGGTCAGTTGGTGCACTAATGATTCTAGTGGTTTCCCATAAGCTACACATAATGAAGATTGAAGATAACATTAAAATATGTGAAAGAGCCTCAAAAGTCATTTTCCTTTTATTACAAATTATTATATGGGTTTAATGGTATTAAAATCCATTTGAAAAATTGAAGCTCTCATATTCGAATTATAATTTAAAAGATGAAAAAATAATTAATGAGTTTCCCTTTTCTATATAATTGAGATTGATTTATATGCAGCAAACCAAGGGTTTATATGGTAAACTAATAAGATGATTTATTATTATTTTTTATACATAATTAATTTTTTTTCTAATCAAAGTAAAGTTCATGACTCACGAACTTCCTTGAATATATGGATAGTAATATGTTAGAAGAAAAAAATTGCTTCTTGGTCAATTATTATCTTATACTAATTACTATAATCCCCAAAAAAATATTTTCGTTAAAAAAATTTGAAACTTAATTTTAATTTATGTTGTTATTTTATAAAAAAGATATTTAATAAATTTTAAATTTATTAATTTTTTTCTTCAAAGTATAATATTTTTCATAAAAAAAATACAAAAAAAAAGTCATCCATGACGTTGAGCCTTATTTTTTTTTTTTCTCAACTATGGTATAAACTCTTGGCCAAAGAAAAATTATGGTATAAACTGTGGGCTGAAGCCAGGTGACGGCATGACAATGACAACAACCATATATGACGAAATGATGTCAAAGACCGCTGAAAAAAAAAATGATGTAAAACACAACCATGATTAGTGTTATGAAATATATATTGTACATATATATTCAATAAGTGTAACAAATTTTAATTGCAATTGCTACCATATCATTATTACAAGTATTGCAGATTCATCTACAGCAGGCGCAGTTCAAAAAGATTCAATTTTAATCCACATTTGCAGGCCATTTTCTTTTTCATCTCCAAATTAAGTACACAGCACAAGGCTAAAGCCCCTGATTTTTTATTTATTTATTTTTGTTTCTTTCTTCGTATCCCATGCATATTGGATTGCAACTTTGGATAACTGCGTATGCAAGTTGATGATAACATGGAAAGAGAGTAGAGAAACACTATGAGTGGAGCCATGAATGATGAGTCTCCATCAAGGGATGTAAATACAGGGAATTGATTCTTAGTCCTTGGATGGAGTCCAAATTTGGGTTCCCATAAATAAACAGATTCTTTAATATTAATTAATTATACATTATATTAATCATACATTATTATTATTATTATTATTATTATTATTATTATTATAATTCTGATAGTTGAAATTAAGATTTTAATTGATAAAAAAATTAAAATTAAAATTTAAAAGAGAAAATATCTATACGTGCAGAATGCAAATATCTATTGGAAAAAAAAAACAAATGGGATTCAATCCAAAGACTCGAAGGTTTATGGTTCTATTAGCCAATGACAGCTCAACCCCAATTGAATAAAAGATCTTCTTCGACTGAACTTTTTGTCTCTAAGCTTACATTTGATACCTCTCTTTTCTCTGAGATCGTAGGTACTCAATTGAACTGCAAAGGAACCTTAAAAAAATGTGTTCATTGTATTTGCTACATTTAGTTCAATTTTCTATCATTTCAATAAGAAGGAAATAAAAATGAAAAAATTCCTCCATGGAAAGCTTTGTGTACAATCAGGCAACTTTGTCGGCTTGTTGGCCTTAACTAGACCCCACAATTATAAAAAAAATAATGAGTGAAAAAATGCCCTTAAAAAAGGAACGCAATATACCTTTGTGATAAACACTGGCACTATCAACACCACCACCAACTTGCCATTATCAAAACCCATCTACAAAAGGTGGCCTTCCATTCCAAGCTCCCACCCCCAACTCAAGAATCTAAATTCCTTAAACCAAACCTCTTACAATTGCCAGAAACACCAAAAAAATGTGGCGTATGCTGGTGGTTTTGCGACGAAGTCTACAAAATATCAAGAAAAGCCCCAGAGTAGCTGATGAGAGCATGTATGGTGGAGGAGGGAATAACAACAATAATAATAATAATAATGGGGCTGAGATGCCAATTTTCATAGACAGGAGATCCCGTGGATCCTGGAATGGTTTATCTGTGATTTGCAGTGTTGTTAGAGCTCCTATTTCTTTAGTTTCTTGCTTCTCTCAACCCCATGTTAATGGAGCTGATGGAGTTTGGGTTTCCAGTGAATTTGCTCAAATTTCAGAGATGAATCATTTGATGGTGAGTGACAGTATGCGTTATGCAATCTTGATGTAAAAAAAAATGTAAGTACTAAATGATAGAATTGTTTTCTTTTCTCTTACTGGATAATCAATGAAGGAGAATTTTGATGTGTGTTGTTTCCTAGGTTCTTTGCATGGATTGACAAAATTATAAATTATTGGCTTTTATTTTCTTTACTTTTTTTTTTCTTCCTTTGAATTATGATCCATGTAATTTTTCCCCATATATATAAATATTTATTGTACGATTGATATATATATATATCTATATATATATATATATATATATATATATATTAGTCAATTACAAATTACCTATGTGAATTGCACGTTTTCAATCTTATGGAATAAAATCATGAGTTAGTCTTCGTTGCCTCTTTGCTTAATCAATTTACTCTGTTTTTCATGATTCCTTACTTTGTTTCTTGAAAATACAAATCAAATGCCCAAAAAAATCAATTTTAAATACTAATTTTATTATGCTGGAATTAGAATAGAAAAAACTCCCAGAAGCCTAATCTCTTATGCTTTAAACAATAAAGTGATCGCACTTAAGAAACAAAATGAAAAAAAATAAAGGTTTGAGTAGAGTGGTGAATGATGATATGTGGTTAATGATAGGGCTTGCCACTGCTGGGTGTCATTGCTACAAGTAAATAATTACTAATAAATAGAAAAAGTTCAAGCATGCACAATTTTTTTTTTCTTACATAAGCATGTACAAATTTTATTAAAAAGTGATGAAGTTGTTTATTTTATTTTTAAATTATTTTTTAAAACTATATGTATTTAATAAAAAATTATAATTACAAGTAAATTATTATTTTCAATACTTTAATTTGTTTTTGAAATTATATAATTATTATAAGAGAATTATCAAATATAAATGATATTATAATGGTGACACATATTCTTTAGTTTATATTTAAAAAAAATAAAAAATAATTAAAAAAATGAAACATGTGTAATTATTTTAATCTTATTTCTAGAATTAAAAATTTTTTATTGTTAATATATCAAATAATTTCTCTTATTATAATTACCTAAAACAATATTCATGATTAATATTATATCGGAAAATATTTAAAATTAGCAGTCTTTCCAAATTCATCATAAAATAATGTAGACTTCTTTTTTTTTGGTAGAAAAAAATATATAATTCTTTAAGAAAGTATAAAATGAGAAAATCAACCAATAAAGAAATATAATACCCTCTAACTTAATTTCAAATAACAACATAATCTATTTAAATTAATAGGAGAGAATAAGCTTAAAAGTTTATAAATCACCTATTGATTAACCCTAAACCCTGCCAAATGTTTTGTATGTACTTCATTTGATAATCATATATATATATATATATATATATATAGTTAGTCTTGTCATTAGCAAAAAATTAAAGCAGGGATACTCCAGCCTAACCTTAATTTTTAATACAGCTTATATCGAATCAATTCTACGGGGGACATCGACAAGCCCCTACTTTCCCAGACACCAATTGTCTCTTACCACGTCATTTATTCCCAAAGACAAAAAATGAAGCGAAGAAAAAGTTGAATTTATAACTCTTTTGCAAAGAAATTAAATCAATTTCTATAACGTTGTAAATAGTGATAATCCCCTAATTATATTTGTTTCTTAAAAAATGTTAATCAATGTCAAGTGACGCTGATTAGAGTGATATTTATGAAAAAAAAACAATTAATGTATTTTTTTAATTTAGTGAAAAAATGTGTATTAAATACACAATCCCTTAAATACTAAAAAAAAAAAAAAACAAAAACTACCCTTAACCAATGCATCAGTGCAGTGCATGCAGACATTTGTTAACCAGATCTTTGCTTATTTATTTATTTATTTTGGTATAATAAAGTGTAAAAATTTGCATTCAATAACTCTTGGAATACTGCTGGAATTGCTTGAAGGATAGGAAAATTAGGAAGACAAATAATTTTTGTTTACCTGAATTTTCATAAATTCTGATTGTATTTTCATCCTTTTAGCAACATCCATTTTACCTTTAATTGTCAATATATAGGAGCACTAAATGTTGTTCTATCAGGACATATGCAGAGATTATAACTTGAGATTCCTATCAGGACAAATCAAATTTGAACTTTGAAATGAAATGGGTGTAATATTTTTATGCAAGAAGGGAAGTTTCAAATCTTTAACATGCGATAGAATAAGATTATATATTTAATTTAGTTAGTTTATACAGTTATTTTTAAAAAATAGTATTAATATGTTTAAAATTTAAATTTAACATTTGTAATCCTTTTAAATTGTGATTTTTTTGTAAATACATATATATATATATATGTATGTATAAGAAAGATTATTGTTAAATATATAGCACAAACAATCAATAAAATTTCTACTAAATGAGTAAAAATATTGCTCCAGCACCTAGACTTTTGTTAATTGTATATATATACACACACATATATGTCATAACGATTTTTCGTTCGAGAGGACTCGATTGCTAGACTTGATAAAAATTTTCGGAGTTACCATCAATTTTTTTATAGGGTGTGATTGGCCACCCAAAATATCATCATTTAGTAAAAATCTTAAAATTAATTAAAACTTACAAAAAAAAGTTTAGGTCTGTGAAATCAGGATTAGGCCCATGAGTACAGTTACGAGTGAGGAAGATATTAGTACCCTCAAGTCGCCCGTTCGAAGAATGGTGCCATTTAAACATGCGTAATCCTATAATTTTGATAACAAGGTTTTTTTTTTTATTTAAGTTTAATTTCTTAAAATTTATTTTAAAACATTTTTCTTTATTACGAAATTAACATTATTATTATTATTATTATTATTATTATTATTATTATTATTATTATTATTCCGTATTCTATAAATTCTCCGACGCTTTGGTGAAATTTATAAAAAATTATTATTTAAAAAATATTTCGAGAAAATTGACCATTCACAAAAATTCTCGAAGACTTCGTCATAAGATATTTTAATTATTTATTTGAAAAAGGATTTTAGGAACATCCCGACGCTTTGGTGAGTTCCCAAAATTTGTTAAATAAATTTTAAGATTATCCCGACTCTTTGGTGAAATTTAAATATTATGGTTATTTTAAAATTTTATATTATTTATTCTTTAATTATTTTTTATAAGAAAAAATTTAGATTATCCCGACTCATCGGTGAAATCTAAATATTAATATCTTGTTTGTATTGAAGAAAATCGAACTCTTTTAATTTTTTATATTTTTAAATATTCAAAATATCAATTATTATTATTTTTATTATTTATTTATTATTTATTATTGTTTTATATTGTTTAAATCAATCTTTATTTTAGTAAAAATAATGTTAGATTATCCCAACTCTATGGTGAAATTTGAAAAATTATTTTTACTTGCAATAATTAAAGAAAATTAAACTTTTTTAGCTTTCTCTAAAAATTGCATTTAAAAGATTCATTTAAATAATTTATTTTTTATTTTTATAATATTTTTATTTTTTAGCAAAAATTATTTTTTAAAATTATCCCAACACTTTTGGTGAAATTTAAATAATATTTTTGCTTGTAATAGAATTTATTTCCTTTAAAAAATAATAATTATTAATTTTTTTATTTATACTATATTTTTTAGATCTTTATTTTATTTCAGTTTCATTTTTATTCTATTTATTTATTTGTTTCTAAAGAAATAAAAATTATTACTAGTAATAATATAAAATAATAATAATAATAACAATAATATTATATAAAAAATAGCATAAAAAATAACATAAAATAAATAAAAATCAAAATCAAAACAAAAAATAAAAAGAAAAAGAAAAGGAAAAACCTACGAAATGGGTTAGGCTAGCGCGCGGATCTTACGTGGGTCGGGTTCGATCCAGACGCCCAAAAAGACGTTGTTTTGGAGGGCCTATAAAAGGCCTGTTTTAATTTTTTTTATTTTTTCTTTCCCCTCTTTCTCTTTACCACAGAACCTTTCTTTCTAAAATTTCGACACCCATTGTCGGCCACCATGATAACCCAGTTTTCGGTCAATCATTGCCATGCACCGATGGTAAAAAAATTTAAAGATCTCAAGATTTCGATGGTCAAAAAATTCAACGGTCATTGAAAAATTCAAACTTTTTTAGATTTTGGTGCCAAAAAATTCAATGGTCATCGAAAAATTCAAACATTTCTAGTTTTCGGTGACCTAAAAATTTTTTCAAAAATTCCCAAAAATTCCCCTAATAATCCATTTTTGCTTTGTAAACACTTTTCCAAGCTTAGATTTTTTAAACAAATCTCAAACTTCATAAATCGAGAATTTCATTCTCAAATTTTTTTTTTTTTTGTGTTTGCTATTTTTTTTTATTGTGTGTTCCCTATTTTTATGCTCTCTGTGTCCTTTTGTTTTTATAGAACTTAGCTCTATTTATAGAGCTTTTAGGATTCAAGATCCCAAATCTTCTAGGATATTTTTTTGTGGAAAATTTATGTCTATTCGGTGACTTTTGGTCATTGAATTTCAGGCTACCAAGTTAGACAGTGTCAGAAAGAAAATATCACTCTGGCAGTTTGATTTCAACTGTTAAAGTTGAAACCAAAATATTTGTTTTTTGACTTTTTTTTAAAAATTAATTAATTATTTAATAATAATAATAATAATAATAATAAAATACAATAGTCAAAATTGGTGTCTACAACTGCCTTTTTTGCTTATTTTTTAGAATAAAAAAGAAAGCAAAGATAAAAAGACACCAATTTTGTTTAAGTAAACACATACAAAAAATGAAACATTGAACATAAATTTTTTTTTTGAAAGAAAATTTGAAAGGCTCCTCTTAACAGAGGCTATGAAACTTTAAATTAAAAAAGCTCATTTCACCAGAGGCAACAAACTTTAAATCCAAAAGGCTTCTCTCACCAGAGGTAACAACTTTAAATTCAAAAAGCTCCTTTCATCAGAGGCAACAAACTTTAAATGATAAAAGCTCCTTTAACCAAATGTAACAAACTTTAAATTC